GGCGGCAAAGAAGGTGGCCGTGAAACGAGAGTAAATAGAAAACCGAACAATATTAGGGGACACAAAGGAGGGGCACCGCGGCAGGGAAAGAGGAGCGGCGGGAAGAGCGCGAAAAGGAAATGGAGGGGAAGACGCAGGGAGCTGTGTGCAGGGCAAGGAGACGGGAAAGGGGACGTTCTGAAAGTGCCGCGTGGGACAGGCGCGGGCCAGGGTGAGAGGAGAGAGGAGGGGATACAGGGAAGAGCAGCAAAGGTGAACGAACCGGGTGGGCGTCCAGGGGCTTGGGGCCGCCGACGAGAGCGGGGAGGGAGAGACCAAAGGGCGGGGAAATGAGACAGGAGGAGGAAGGCGAAGAGGAGGCAGCCGCTGGCCTGGACCCCTGGGTCCCTTTCCCCAGGGTCCTGCCAGTCCCCGCCTCAGCCTCAGGCAAGTCCGTGCCCAGAGCCTGCGGCTCCAGAGGGCCGGCGTTTGCCCCCAGCGGCCTGACTCCAGCCCCCGCCCCCGCCCCGGGCCAGCGCGTTCCACTCGGGGCTGCAAGAGGGGCACCCCTCCCCAAGCCCAGCGTGAGCAGGGGGAGGGGCGCCCTGCACCCCAAGCCTGGGCGCCCCCTCCCCAGGCTGTAAACCACAAGTCGGAGGTACGAGGGGTTCCCCGGGGCCTTCGCCTGGGGTGCCCCGGAGCCCGGGACCAGTTTCTGACGGCGCGGAGTCCGCAGAGAGGCTCCCAGCAGCATGAAAGAAACCCGCGAGAGCACCGCGGCGGCGGCGGGAGCCGGACTTCTGAACCCCCTTCCGCCCCCATAGGGCTCAATATTAAAAAACCCCCCTGGGAGCCTCAGACACTGTATTAATTAGTGCAACCACCCATGAAAAGTTGGGTTTGGAACGGCATTCTTCGCCCTGTGTGAAAAACCAAGTCTAATAAACAATTGTTCACTTGGCCCGTCGCCGCCGGTAAATTACATAGCATTAAAAAAATAATGCTTTTCATATTAGGCACTAATTAAAGGTTGGGACAGCTTTAAAACAAGAGAGGGAGGGGGGAAATCAAAGAAAATATAAAAATGTTCTTTCAAGAGTTATGGGAGGTTAATAAAGTATGTCTGTTAGAGTTGGGACTACTTCGCCCCTAGCTACAGCCAAGCTGGAGCCGCCACAATTGGGTCTCAATAAGATAATGATATTCCTTTCTCTGCTATTAAAAGCCTCCCAGTGCAAACTTAAAATGATTTATTTAATTTAGGGAATTATGAGGTGTAACTTCAAAGCCCGAGCCGTTAGTAATGGAAAATACCAGGTTGTTTAAAATTATAATAATAATTGTTTGGGACATCAAAGTGTTTTCATCAACAAATGCGGAGGGGTCCGGAGGAGGTTGGAAAGAGTCAGAGGGGGTGGGCGGGGGGCGGGGGGGGCGGGGGGGGTTTGGATTTGATTATTATGAACCTTATCGGGGCCGGGTTCAGGATTCCCGCAGCCCGGTCCTCTGCTCTGCTCTGAAGCAGGGCTATTTTGGAAAGTAATTTTCCTGCTTTTTATTTAGCGCCTAGCAGGGAGGAGGCGAGAGGGGTTCGGGGGAGCGGGAGACAGGGAGAAGGGTCCAGGAGCTGACAGCCGACTGCTCCTCGCCGCGGTCCGGCCAGCTTCATTAGACAGGCCCCCGGCACCGCCAATCTGGAAAAAATTGTTTCACTTAACGTCGAAGGGAAAACTGGCCTAATCAACTTCACCAGCCGGGCTCCTGTGATTTCGAGGAGGGTGCGTGCAAGTGTGTGTGTGTGTGTGTGTGTGTGTGTGGTGGGCTCTTTTATACATGAGGTTTATGTTTATTCCGAACCCAGCGGCGGAGAGGGAGTGGGGGTGGGGGAGTGGCCTCTCCGGCCCGTGGCAAATGAGCGGCTTTTATAGCAAAGAATGGCCTCCGGAGTTTTCGCCGGGGCAGCCGAGGTTCTGCTCAAAGGCTGGGCTCCTCTTTTCAGGGGGGTCAGGCGGACGGTTCCCCTGAGCCTGCGCCCAGCCAGGCCTCCTCTGCCTACCTGCGTGCCCCCCACCGGGCATCGCCACCCCAGTGCTCCACCGAGGAGGATGGTCCGGCTCAGCTCCCGGTCCCAGGGGAGAGAGAGAGGGTGGGTCCTCGGTGGGCAGCCCCCCACAGCAATGAGGGGAGGAAAAAGGGGTGCAGAGAGAAGCCCCAGGCCTGGGCACTCAGGGTCTAGGCGTCTGCAGAGCCGGGCAGCTGCGGGTCAGGTCTGAGCGGGCTCCCGCACGGCCTGCCTTGGCCGGCCCTCATGCTCACCGCCAGCCGAGGTCTGAGTCCGCCGCTTACCGGTTCTGTGCCCTCAGCGAGCCGCCGCCCCGAGCCTCAGTTTCCTCACCTGTAAGGTGCGGGGCTCACACCTCCCCGCAGGGCACTCCAGGACTAGAAGAGAGGCAGGAGAGAGTGCCCAGTTCCGCCCTTCGCAGGAGCTCAGCAGAGGTGATCCCCTCTCCTTTCTCCCCCTCGTTTCTCAGAGCAGAGCACTGTTTCTGGGAGATTTGGGGAGAAAGTGTTGAAATCAGGGGAGGTGAGTGGACTTGGCGCCAGGCCCCTGGGAGGCCAGCACGCGGGCGTCGTCAGCGTGACTTCCCCAGGCGCGGCTCTGCGGGTCCCTGGGGAGTCGGGGTCCGCCTGCCGCCACGGCAGGTTCCTAGTCCCAGCTCCGAAGCACACCAGGCTTTCTGGGTGCGGGGGCCGTGGGGACAGCAGAGCCCAGCCCAGGGCAGGAGGTTGGCGGGAACTCCGGTGCCGGGAGCTCCGCTGGCCCCGCAGAATGGGGCTCCGTCTTCAGTTGGGTGACCCCACCCCCCTAGCAGAGCTGGGGTGCCTCTGTTTGAACCTAAGCAGCTCCTTCCCCTTCTCCGGGCCTGTTTTCCTTTGGGGGTTGGGGGCTTTTGAGTAGTGGACGGTTACCCACGCGGTCTCTAACCCACCCTCACGATGCCCACGCAGGACACAGCCCCGTTCCTCCGAGTCGCACTGTGGTTAACGACCCCCTCCTCCCGGGGGCAAGCCGAGACGTAACCCCAGCGGTGTCTCCCGACCCCCGACTCCGGCTCAGATTGCCCGAGGCTACGGGGTCCCAGACAGGAAGGAAGCTCGGTGGACGGGCTAATTGGGGACCCAACTTGGCGGCCGGGCCGGGGGTGAAACCGGGAAGGGCTTTGGGCTTTGACAAACACACCCCTGACGTGAGGAAGGCTGGATCCTGGGCTAGGACGAGGAGCTGGGCCTGGGGAGGCCCAGCCAGAGAGCAAAGGCACACACTTGGCGAGGTTCGGGGCACTCCGCGGGCTCAGCTCCGAGTGGAGGAGCGGGGCAGGAGACCGGCCCCTGCGTGGAGCAGACCCTGGGTATGGACCACTTGGCGCCGGGGCTGTGAGGCGACTGAGACGCGTGCCTGACCCCCGGGAGCCACTGCCCGCCCGCCACCCTGGGTGCCGGCAAAAAGATGGTGTGGGATGAGAACACTGGTCCTCGGTAGGTGCCAGGTGCCAAGGTCCCCGCTGCACCAGGTCCGGGGCAGGTTGTCCTGCAGCCAACGTTTCCAGGGCCCCAGGAGCTTCCCATCAGACCTCAGCACGGCGTGATGCACCGGTGGCCGCTTCTCATCTATTTGTGCCACAGAGAGCAGAATCTAAGATGCATCTCACCCTCCCCTACCCACTATCAACTTGTGTTCACAGTGATGCTTCCAAGACCGGGCCCGGCCTCTGGTCTGAGCCCAGTGGCAAGAGGCTGGGAAGCAAAGGGGACTCGAAGGGAAGCACCATCCCCCGTCAGGCCCCCAGAAAAGAGTGTTTGTTCGGGTCCCTCTTCTGGGGAGAGGCCGGGAGTGGCAAAGGGGGCCTGATTGGACACACTCCCGAAAGCAGCCCCCACCCACCCCCACCCCCGCCGCGCAAGCATCTAGTAACCCGCGCTGTTTGCAGAGGGCCATGGGTTCTGTTCCCGCAATTTTGTTGTTGTTTTGGCAGACAGAAAGTTTCAAGTTCAAGATTTCCCTTGATCACCCACAAAGCACTCAGAGGCTGGCCGACCCCGAGCCACACCACTTCTCCTAAGCTCATCTTTCACTCGTCTGAAAACCTCCACTTCTTTTCCAAGGGTAACCCAACCCAAGCTGCTGGGGGAAGTCCGTCCAAGTGTTTTGCTACTTTCAATGCACTCCCCCCTCCCCCCTGAATCTGGCCACAACTCTGGATTGATTCACATTAAAATAGTCATAAAAGTCACCCCCTCCCCCATTCGGGTGGCATTTTGGTGTTTTTGAGCTAAGCCCAACTAAGAGCGGAGAAGAATGCCTCTTACAATAAGTGAGTTTGGACAAGATTTACTGCAATAAAACACATGTTTAATTTAATTTGGAATAAGAGATAAGAAATAACTCTTCAATAAAATATATAAAATTATACAGGACACCCTTTCAAAGGGATAACGTCTGCTTGGTGGGGGAGGGTGAGGGAGGGGAAGGGGAGGGGCGGGGGGAGCTCAGTGGCTAGGAGACCCCACCGTTTCCCAGCAAATCGAAACACGGCTTCACCCTCTGCCCCCGATTCCGTAAAGAAGTATATAAATGTCTCTAATACGTTTAGCACATACAATAGGTACAGAGAGAGCATGATATTTTTTCTTTCTGGATCTATTCATTGTCCAAGAATATTCAGCATATAAGCAATGGTTACAAGACAATTTTTTTTTAAGCGGAGAATTAACTACACCCCCACCCACCCCCAAATCACCTCTGCGGTGTGTGAGAAACCGGCCGTCCCTCCCCACACGCTCTGAGTCCTCACTCTGCGGTCCTCGGAAATGAGGTTAAGCACCAGCCTGGAGAGGCACTGGGAGGTGCCTCCATTTCCCCCCTCACCCCAGGCTTGCCCCGTCTCCCTGTCCCTCCCCCTTTATTGATCTTAACCCCCTCCCCCCCAAAAGTAAATTTTTAACAATGTAGCAATGTGGAGAGGAGGGAAATAGGGTCAGGTGTGGCATCGAATCAGGTTTTTCGTGCTGGGAAGACTGCAAGCGCGTGGCCTGTCCCTGTCACTCGGAGGAATCTCTCCAGGTCTGCTGCCCCTGTGGTTTGTCTGCTTCTAATAGTTGCTTTCCTGAAGCAGAAGGCAATCATCCCACCGAAATCACCAAACTTCAGCAATTTCAGGAAACAGTATTTCTCTCTCCCTGTATAAGGGAAAAAAAATGGACTTAAGCAGTCTCTTTCAGGTGATATATATATAAAAAAAGTGTACATATATATATATATACACACACACAGGTATATAAATTTTGCCTTTCAAAATAATTTGAATTTTTACGTCTGCTGTATAAAAATGTATTATACTTTATTATATATATATTTATATATAAAAACCGTCAGAGCCAATCTTTGCGAGGGGAGCAGGGGGCATCTGGAGAACGACACCCAGGAAGCAGGACGCGGTGCGTCCGGCCTGGACAGCGCAGTCTGACAGTGTCTGCGGCCCCGCCCGCCGCCCGCCGCTCAGGGCGCTGCGTGCAAGGTCTGCGGAGCCGGGGTGCAGCCGGGGTGCGGGCTCCGAGCTGCTTCCTGGAGAGGGAGGGGGCCCACGCGACCAGCGTCCGGCGCGGAGTCCACGAGCAGCTTTCCTTAGGACAAGTGGTACATGCCGTATCCGACCGGCGTCGCGTAGAGTCCCACGGGCGGGATGGGGAGCACGGGTCTGTGGAAAGGGTAGGACGCGCCGTACAAGGACGCCGCCTGCAGGGGCGCGTTGATGGGGAAAGGGAGGCTGAAGCCGGAGGGCAGCAGAGGTTTCGCGGCCATTTTCAGCTTTTCCAGTTCTGCTTCCTGCAGTCTTTTCGCCTTGGCCCTCCGGTTCTGGAACCAGATTTTGACCTGGGTCTCTGTGAGGTTCAGAGAGCTGGAGAACTCGGCGCGCTCCGCGATGGAGAGGTACTGCTTCTGCCGGAACTTGCGCTCCAGGGCCAGGAGCTGCGAGGTGGTGAAGGGCGTGCGCGGCTTCCGGTTGGTCTTGTGCTTCCGCAGCGTGCAGGCGGTGGGGCTCATGTGTCCTGGGGGACAGACAGGCAGCGAGTTAGCAAAGCCAGGGGCCTTCTCTCCAGAGGGGTGTGTGTGTGTGTGTGTGTGTGCGCCAGTGCCTCCTCTCCATCTTTCAGAGAGATACTTCTGTCAAAAGCAGGTGTTTGGGGGGGGGGGATGGGGAGCAGGACCACATTTAGATAAATAAACTCCTTTATTTTTCAAAACTGAGGCTTTTAACAAAAATGTTTGGGAATGGAATGGTGCAATGGGAACTTTCTATATGAAACAATCGACCCCTCATACGTCAAGAGAGACAGCTGAGTGGTCTCTGAGAACCAAACCCCATCTCTTCTGAGGTTAATTTCTCTTGTCTTTAACATGGGGGGCTAGGTTCAGAACAACCCTCACCTCCCTTGGATGCAGGCAGAATCCCATGCAAGAAAGAAAATGGAAAGGGTCTCAGGAACAAGCGGGTCGGCACGCCCCGCACCAAGGCCTGCACCATGGCCCTGCCCCGGGCGGGGCGGGACTCTACCAGCACGCTGGCCGCGCAGGGGCACAGCAGGCAGACCAGACGAGGTCTGTGATAAATGAATAGCATCTTGCAACGGGGGAGCAGCCCCACGCCGCCACCCACCGCAGCTGTCACTGCATCCAGCCTGCAGGTGATAAAACCTTGGGCAGATCTGGGTGTGGGATCCGTGCTTTGTGGCCGGGTACTTCTGCAACATACACGTCACTCGGAAGGAGAGAGGAATTAGCTGGGCCGTAAATGTAAAGGTTGGGGGGGGATCAGGCTGCCTCTCTGGCTTGGGAGCACGTGACGACACCTCTCGAGTCATCTCCACCCCCCCTCCAGGGCTGAGCCCACGTGCACACGGTCAGCGTGTTGCCAGGGGTTAAGAAGAGCACACCACGCACAATAAAGGTGGGCCGGCAGCATCCACACGCCGCGTGTGAGCTGGGTTCCACTGCAGGAAGTCCCAGGACTGGCCGCCCCTGAGGTCCCAGAACATCAGCTCACTCTGAGCTTCTCGTCCTCCAGGGGAGGGGGCCGACAGAGTGTGGGGCCGGGGGACAGCACGCTAAACACACTTAATTTGCTGTGTTTGGCTTTTTATGAGCTATGCTAATTTTCCGAATGGGGCCACAGTCGTTAACTCCAAAGGACTCAGGGGGAGAATGTGGCATTTCTTGTTTTGTCACTCTGGTGGCCCGAGAAAGAGTTTACACGTCGTACTCCAGGGTGACATAGCGCACGTCCCAACCCAGCCTCCACCTCCAAGAAGAAATGGACCTGCCCCAGTGCGGCCTCACTGACCCTCACCGGAAGGGACTGCAAGGAAAGAGGTCGTGGGGCCTGCAATCCACCAAAAATAATAGCAACAACAACAACCCAGATACCTGGGAGAGGAGTGGGGAAGAGGCACCACAGAGGCGTCCCCTTTGCATATGCTAATCCCTAAGTAAACCGGGGCACCTGCTCTTCAATTTACAAATAAACTGAGCCCGCCGTCGCAGGCTCTAAGACCTGTGAAATCCGCAGCCCTCACCGGCCCGGCCCGGCCTGGCGCTCGGGAGGACCCAGCAGTCTGGGCTGGGACCCTGAGCTCCCAGCGTCGGCGCCCGAGCCTGCTCTGCGCGTGAGAGCAGCTCCGACGCCCGGCGAGGTGCTTCTGGCTGCTGCTGGGGGCCGCGCTGGAGTTACGAAATCCAGGAGCCGGGATCGCACACGTGCATCAAAGGGAGAAAGTTAGGAGGCTTCCTCCCGGCCCACTGCTCCTCCCTCCCCCCCCACCCCCCACCCCTATTTTAAACCAGCCAGAGGAAGGATGCGATTATACAAAGCAAAACAGCATTTATCCGACTTCCTCTGAATAACAAAACCAGGCCCAGGCGGGTGGCTCCCTCCCGCCCCAGGCACCCCAGCCACGAGCTCCTGGGGGCCCAAGGCTCCCACCTCTGCTCCCCCTCCAGGCCCCGAGCGCCAAGAACCCACTTTTTGTTTTAAAAGCAAATCTTTTCTCGCCGTCTCCCATTTTTCTCACGGGAAGGTCACCACCCCCAGGGCCCAGGGCGGCCGTACTCAGCAGGGAGGCTGGGGTGCACGTCCTGGTAGGGGTGTTTACACAGTGCGTGGGGAGCTGGCGTCCCAGACCCAGGAGGCCCGAGGAAGTGCGGTTGCTGACCTCTGCACACCACTCCCCGTCAGGCCTGAAACCTTGATGAGCCGCAGGGCGTGGGCCCGGGCCTAGGAAGGCCTGGGCACTATTTGCCAAACGTATAAAGTCCCTTAAAGCTCTTGAGCCTCTATTTCACCACCAGTAAAATGGGTAAACAACACTGACGCTGCAGTGAGGGTCGCAGTAAGGGTCGCAGTAAGGAATTTTAGAATGCCCAGAGCCCTGTCGTTCAATGTCCCCCAGTGCAAACTCACTGTGCGTTAACACACCTCTCAACTCTGCTGAATGCTCTCGTGGGTTCCCAGGAGGCCCAGGGGCCGCCACACAGATCAGATACAATCGTACGGTGAGCAGTGCCCTGAATCGAGGAGCAAACTTGTGTTTAAATTCTCCGAGTCCTTCATCTCCACACCCTCGGAATCTTTCGGAGTTTCTAACAGGGTGGGGCGAGATGCCAGAGGCCACAGCCACTGACGCCAGGGTCTGCGGCCTTGTTTTGCTCACAAAATACTGTGCGTCTCCAGCCTCGAGGGCTGGCTGTTGGGGATGGGAAAAGATGGGTTTCTCCCAGCTTTGGATAAAGTCCCCCTCCCCACAAGGCCCCTCTCTCTCTCCTTTCCAAGAGGTGCAGTGGGGGCAGAGAACTCTTAAAGACCAGGAGACAGACGCTGAAGGGGCAGTGGGGCAGTGACTTCTCCAAACTGGAGAAGGACTGGGCCCCAACGTGGATGCTGAAGCCGGAGGAGAAACCGGCTCTCCCGGGCCTGGCTCCCCGCCCTGCCGCCTCATTGGCAGGAAGCGGGTGCAGGTGAGCGGACCTCCGCCGCATCTCCCCGGGGAGAAGGGTCAAAGGTGGCCAAGGCACCCTCTGGAGAGCCAGGGCTCCAGCCCCTGGCCCAGCTCAGGCCTGGTTAGTAGTGACTTGCATCGAGCAAGTTCGGTCCTCTGCAAACAAGGTCTCGGTGTCTGAAAAGGGCACAGCCACAGGTCCCTGGCCTCTGCCTACACTTCGGGGTCCCAGCGGTGACCGGTGAACTAAAGAGCATCACTTTGGAAACGCTCAAGCACTGCGGGGAGGCGGCTAAGTATTACTATGAGCCAAGCAAAACCCCCTTGCACTTTCAACCCCAGCCCGCTCCCAGCGAAGCTCAGGACCTCGCCAGCGACGTGCTGGCCTGGAGGGCGACATGTCCTCCCGCCTCGGCCTCTGCGGCCTTCCCTTCGCGGGATCGTGCTCCGACACCCGCGGGGCCCACGGAAGAGAATGATTTGCTGCTAATATCGGGTTAGATTTCAGCCAGCTCATCTTTCAATGGAGGGCACGCCTCGCGGGTCTGTGAACTTTACGTCCCCTTCTTTCCCCAGACCCGAGACTCCGGCGGGCCGTGGAACCAAAATAAGCGAAGCGGCCGAAGCGCAGGGCTGGGGGCCAGAGAAGCCGAAGAGCAGGCGACCCCGCAAACCCAGCTAGGGTTCGCCCTCCGGAGAGACCAGCGAGTCCGCCACTGTGGGCGGCACTGTGCACGGCGAGGGGACCCGGATCACGCGGTGTGCGGAGGGTGCCCACGGGATGTCCTGCACGCGGCGGGCGCGCCGAACTCTGGGGAGAGCAAGGGGCCAACGACAGCCGTGCCTGCTTTCCGGGGCGCGCAGGGCAGAGGGGTCCCCGCGCCCCCGGCCTGGAAACCAGCCCCGGGCTCCCGCCAGTACCCCCGGTCCCCGCCCGGGCGCGCACTCACTCGGCGGCGGCGAGTATCTGCCGGGCTCCTGCATCCACGCCGCTCCGTCTTCTGAGTTTTCCGACTTGACCGAGGCGGTCTCGAAGGGCTTGACCAGCGACCCGGGGCTGTGCGCCTCCCGGGCGCCGTGTCCCGGCAGCAGCAGTGGCCGCAGCGCGGGCCCGGCGGAGGCGCTTTCGGCTGGCCGCGGCGACGCCTCCTTGGGCGGCTTCTTGTCCGACATGAGCGCCTCCACGCTGAAGGGCAGGCTGGAGACCTTGACGCGCCGCTCCTCCGCAGCCCCCTCGGCGCTCCCGGGCCCCGGGCCCGGCCCGGCCACCATCGCCGGGCCCTCCTCATCGGACGAAAACAGGTCACTATTGCCTTTGGACGGAGAAGCCATGACTTCTCTGTCCCCACGTAGCTCCCGGCGCGCGACTCGGCTGGCAGCCCGGCAGCGGCGACTCCAACTTTTTGGGGGGGAGACGGGAGGGGCGCTCGGAGAGCCGAGCCTTTCCTCCAAGGGGAAGTGGGAGACTCGGATCGGCCAATCCCCGCCCGCCCTGGCGCTGACGTCACGGGCGCTCGCCTCCCATTGGCCCTTCGGGCAGAGGCTGGGGCCTCCCCCCTCCCCACCCCCCGTTTGAAATAAATTAGGAGTTAATTACAGGAGCAGTCAGCAGAGTTGTTATTAGGCGATCCCTCAAGGTTTATAATCACGCCAAAACTGAAAAGTCCAAGGCGTAATTAAGGCCGATTATTTAAAGAGGAAGTTCACCGAGTCCCAGCTCTTCTCTTTTTTTTTTGACCCCTCTTTTGAACAGGTACCCCGCGTCTGTATTACTCCCACCCCCCCCCACCCCACCCCCGGCCACAACGCGTTTTAAGTCAGCAACCGATGTCGCAAACACACGAATGAAGCGCCTACTGTGCGCCAGAGCTGGGCTGGCTTTGCAAATCTGGGAGTCAGCACTGAACACGTGCCAGCCTCCCTTGCTAGAGCGAATGGCACACGGAGGGCACTTAGACCAGTGTTTTGCTCCTAGCTCCCAAGGGTGTCCGCTCTGACCCTCAGTCCCCTGGAGGACGAGGGGCTGCAGGGAGCCCGAGAGGTGGTCCAGGGCTGCTCCCTCCCAAACAGCTCTGACTGGACCAATTAAACCAGCGGTCCCCCGAGTCCTCCCTTCTGCAAGAAAACCAGTGCCCTGAGAAGCTTGGAGTCCGCCTGTTTTCCTTCCCCCGAAGCTCCTTTCTGGGCGGTGTATCCTGTGCGGCCTTTTCCTCCAGGCCGCGCGAATGGTGTGTACTTGTGCGTGTGTCTGAGCCCGTGTTCGTCAGGTGTGTTTGTAGGTGCCAGTGTTTGCCTTGGAGGGGGAGGCGAAGGGAGGAAAAGGCCTGATACTATCTAATGCTTACTCCCTCTTGCAAATCTCAGAAACCCAGGGTTCTAAGTTTGCACACCCCACTAGGCCTCTGGATCTTTTGGGGAAGCACCTTCTTATTCATTCCACCTGGTTGAAAAAAAGAAGAAAAGAAAAGAAAGGAACATTGATGTCTCCACCCCACTCCAAATTATACCCTGGGTAATTACATCTCAAGCCTGAGTGAAGAGTGCCTCAGCCCAGCGAAGGGGAGAGTGAGCTTCCAGCGCTCAGAGGCCTGGGATCTCTGCAGGCCGCTGGGCCCAGACCCACGGATTTACGTGACCCTTCCCAGGCTGTGGCTGCATTTCCCTGTATCTGAACCACACTTCTGCAGGTGAGGAGGTGAGCAGGCATCTCCCAGCACAGGGCCTGGCACACAGCACGTGCCTGCCCAGCAGTCCCCACAGCCTTGGAGGGAAGGGACATTGTCTGTCGGCACTGACACCACCAAGGCTGGGACAAGGCTCCCTCTCACTTCAAGGGTCTGGGAGACTTGACCCCCAGGCCCGCTTGCTGCAGCACGTCTGTGCTGCCCTGTCCCCTCCACCCAGACCTCTGCCTGGAGGGAAACCACGCCGGGTCAGGGACAACCGAGCAGGCGTGATCTGACTCTCTGAGGAGAAAAACCGCCTGCACCAGCCGGCGAATTCGGTGTGGTTACAAATGGTCCTGAAACGTTAAAAACAAAGAAGTCCCAACTCGGGCCTTCCAGCTTCCCTCTCCCACACCACTCGGAGCAAGCACATTCCTTTATTTTTTTTGAACAAAGTGGAAAATCAGAGAAAGGTAAAAAAAACAACAACAGCTCTGAAAGCTATCCGGAGATGCATGCATTTTCCCCCTTGAGTCATACTTGCTGGTCGTTGGCTTGATACGCATCTCAAATACAGTACAGGTAAATCCAGACCGAGTTCTGCCCTTCTGGGGGGAGCCAGTGGGGGGGGGGGCAGGCTCCACGCTGTGGAAGCAAACTTGGAGCTCGTTTCCCCTCCCGCCCCCCTCCGCCCCCCTGGCCCCCGCTGCCACAGGCCACAGAAGGTCTCAGCTGTCATCGGGGACGTACCCTGGCCACCGTTGTATAACTGTTACTACAAACTCCTTGTGAATATGCGTCCACGGAGGGACGCACAGGCTCCTACCTGGGAAATTAAAATAAAACTCCACACTGCTCCAGCCTTTTGAGGAACTTCTCAGGGAAAGGAGAAGCCACGTTCTCCCCGCTACTCTGGGGTCCTGATGTCCAGGCAGAGAAGGAAATGGAGGATGCCAGAAACAGGGAAATGGTAGAGATGAGAAAGAACAACAACAACAAACACACACACACACACACACACACACATGCACACGCACCCAGTGTTCAAAGCCAGGGCGCCAAACATGGGCCGTAAGCAGGAGAGACGACGCCCAGGGGCAACCAGCCTACCCCAGCTCCTGCCGGCTCCCTCCCCAGCGCCCTGCCCCCTGCCCAGGGGCAGACCATTCCAGAAAGGGGCTCGATTGTGCTGGGGAAAAAAGGTGGAACCTCAACACAACTCCAGCCCTTTCTGGAGAGCCCCACTGGTGCATTTGCTCCTGCGTGGGCTGCGTTTTCAGAACATTGTGTTTACCGCTTCCTGGCCCCGGGACCCTGGCCGTCTCACTCCGCCTCCCTCGAGCTGCTTTTTGATCTCTAAAGGGAGCGAGAATACCCCCTACCTGCGACAGGTCTTGGGGTGATTACATTCAAATAGGCTACACACAGTAACTAGAAGATGTAGGGGAATTAATTAAAAAAAAAACATTGTATATCAGGAGCAGTCACAATTTATGGGCTTCCTTCTCTCTGCCAGATTTCCAAACTGAGGCGCATCTCCTGCCTTCGTGGAGTTCACGGTGGGTTCTTGGTAACATCTCCGAAGCGGAGAATGTGGCTGGACCCGAAGACAGTCCAGTCCCTCAGCGGAGTGGGTGTAGCCCCTGAGTGGGGGACTGGCCTCGGCACGTAGGTGGCATTCAGTAAAGGCTCGCAGGCAGCAGAGCGGGGTTCCAGGGGCAACCCAGTTACCACTGAACGTCAACTCGGCCCAGAGCTTTAGTGCCCGGGCCTGCACTCCTGCACCCAGCGCACCGCTCTGGGTGGAGAGGATTTTCTCCATTTCACAGATGAGAGCCTACGACTAAGAGGCGCTTAGTGTGCTGCTGCCCCAGGTCACGCAGGTAAGACGTAGGGGACCCGGGGGTCGCCCCTGCACCGCGCAGACCCCTGCGCGCAGAGCCGCAGTCCCCCACGTTCCCGCGCTCCCCGCGCAGTTCGCACACCCGCCGGGGCCCTGCGTGGAGCAGCGGCGCACGCGCTCCGAAGGCCCCCAGCGAAAACCCTCCTTGCAAGCCGTGGAGGGCGGCCCGCGGACCGCAGCGTTTGCAATCCCCAGGACCCGTCCCTGGATCCGAGCGGCGAGGAGGAGGCGGGGGAGGGGCGGGGGAGGGGGCTGTAGACGGGCCAGGGCTGCGGGCAGGCGCCAGGCGCGGGGAGATGAAAGGCGGGCTCCAGGGGAAGGGGCTGCGCCGGGTGACCGGCTCCAGCCGCGCCGGGCGCCCCGCCCCCGCCCCGCCCCGCCCGGGCTGCCCCGGGCAGAGGCGGCTGCCCGCGCCGGAGCCGCGTTAATTGCTCTCGGCCCCGGCGCTCAGCCTGCGCGGAGCCGGGACAACCTCGCTCCAGGAGGAATGACAATTCGCCCTAATGGGACAACCTCGCTCCCAGAGGAGTGACAATTCCTCCTAATGGGCCGCTCGTTAGCGGCCTATCCTCTCGAACCCGTGTATCAGAAGCGGGCAGACAAGCGGGCGCCAAGGTCCGCCTGGAATTCCACCACACCGCTCCTCCCACCCCCAGATCCGTCCATCCGCTGTGTGACCTCGGGCAAAAGGCTGCCCCTCTCTGAGCTCGTTTTTCTTACCTGGGCCGTGAGGGCCAGACAGGGGAAGGTCAGACCTCGGGGGGCGCGGGCCTGTTCCCAGGCATTGGAGAGGTCGCGTTTTGAGTTCCAGAGCGGGAGCGGGGAGAACACGGGCATTCAGGGTCACTGCTTGAGGTTCTTTGGGGGACGAACCCCTTGCTTGTAAAGTTCTAGACCATCAAAGCGGTTTTCTACGGCCCCCTCCCGCCCACTGAGGTCAGGACCCGTGGGCGCCGGGCCGGAGACAAGGGTCCTTGCGCGGATGGCACAGACGGCCCAATCCTGAGCTCCCACTTTACAGATGGACTCGTCGAGGCACAGACGCGGGAGAGGCCGGCCTGAGAGCTGCTGTGGGTGGAACCTAACGGGACGAGGTCCCCTGGAAGAAGCCCACGACGAGGACGTCCAGGGGGGAGTGGGGGCGGGGCGAAGTGGCGGCGGACACGGTCTGCAGCCTGGAGAGCGAGGGCCGGGTCTGGGAGACTTCCCCTTGCTCCCGGTCGCACGCAGCAGGTGTGAGGGCGGCGGAGGAGCGAGAGGCCTGCGTGCGGACCCAGCCCTCCTTCCGACCGCTCGCCACCATCCCCGCGCCGGGGGTGACCAGCCCTTCTCAGAAAACGGCAGGCTAACGCCCGGCCTGCAGCGCGACTGGTCAGAAGCTTCAGCCCAACACCAGCCGCTGCAGCCCCGCACGGCGGCTGCAGCGGGCGCCCACCCTACCCGCAGCTCTGCCTCCCCGAGCCCTGCCTTCTTGGAACAGGGTGGGGGCCCTGCTTCTCCTGGGGCTCTGGACGAGTCACCCCACCTGTCTGCACCTCCCGGTTTCCTGGTCTGGAATATGGGAGTGTCTAGCATTCCGTAAATGTCGCATAGCGTTATCATTTCTTAGATCACCATTGATGGTATTTTTAGCTCCTTTTTCAATAGACCTGCCTGGCATCACACATATCTGGGGTCCTGTGACCCCACGCTGGGCGGTTTGTGGCAGGAGGCTGTAACTCTCTCCAGCCTCGTTTTTGAGCTCTGTGCAGTGGGGGTGTCTACCCATTTCCTGAGAGGCAGCAGGCTGGTGGCTGGGTCCAGCGAGGGGCGGGGATTAAGGGAAGAATC